GAAGGTACATGATTGGATGGTTTCAAATAAATTGACAATTAATATTGAAAAATCAAAATTTATGATAATTACTCCCCAAAAGCATCAGATAAACCATGACTTGTCAATAAAAATTGATGGTACCAAAGTAGAAAATGTGTTATCATACAAATACCTAAGAATTTTTATTGATTCTGGTCTTAAATGGGACAAACATATTGAGCATGTGGTGAAAAAAATAACTAGAGCAGTCGGTATCACCTACAAGCTTAAACAATACATGCCTACGTCAACCCTGCGCTCTGTGTATTTTTCAATTTTTCAATCTTCTGTTCAGTATGGAATCTCAGCATGGGGTGCTGCTGCACAAAAATATTTAAAACAAATTAATGTCTTACAAAACCGAATTGCTAGATCTATTTGCAATACAGCACCTAGAACTAAGATTAATCAGCTTTAATCAACACTCAACATTCTGAAATTGACAGACTTATTCAATTTTGAAATTGCAAAACTAATGTATCAACACCAAAATAAATCCCTACCTGAAGCATTCGATAAATATTTTACTAAGCAGTGTAACACCCACACACATTACACCCGATCTTCTTTGCGTGGAAATTATTTTGTTCCCAGATATTCTACTGCAAGAACACAAAACTCAATCAAATACACAGGTATCAAAATATGGAATAATATTCCACATGAAATAAAATCACATGGCTACACAACCTTCAAGAATACATATAAAAAGTATTTACTCAAAAACTACCAGTAGTCTTTATAAACTGCTTCAAGAATACATATAAAGAATATTTAATCAAAATTTACCGGTAGTCTTTATAAACTGCAGTTTTGCTGACAGTTTCATACCGGTACCGTACACCGTGGTGGCCTACCTCTTCTGTGTTCGCTTCACTGCCGTACCGTGATGATATAGCTTCCGAGTAACCTAATATAGTATTATTTTTCTTACTCGCATATCCCCAAACTTTTTTGTCTCTATAAATCAGATTCTGAATGCGCGTGCGGTCGCTCAGCAACCCAAACAATTTTCCAGTTCGTTGATGAATGACCATGGTTAACTATGGAATGACTGACCGCCGTAGCTAACCAACCGAAACTAAAATTGGCTGGAGTCGCCTCCGATCTCGATATATGCGCTTAAGGCCTAACCACGACCTTGGGCCAAATTTTATTTTATTTCTCAAAAGTTTCATGTTACTGGTTGTACATGGAGTATAAATTGTGCCTTAGAATTCGTACATGGAGGTTGCTAATGCTGCAGGCGTGGATCTTATGGATGCAAAGACCAACTACTAGTAAATTGGGTGATTTTAGAAAATTGCAAAAATTATTAAAAACACATGAGTACAGCATGGATTGATTACAGGAAAAGCGTTTGACAGTGTACCTGATTCTATTCATGCGGAATTTTTCAGGGAGACTCGTTTTCCCCTCCTGCGGTCTGCCTTGCCTTGGCCCCGACTAGCACTTTGCTGAAAAAAATCAAGTTGTGGGTACGAAATTTTGTAACAAAAAATATCTCATTACTTTATATGGATGACTTGAAGCTGTATTCAAAAAATGATAGCCAAATTGAAATATTATTGAAAACATTCTTATTATTTTTTGGATTGAAATTATGTGATATATCAGTGATTTTGAAATACGTACTTGAATTAAAATATTTCTTGTAGGCAATGTCAGGACAGTTTCAGCATGTAAGTGGAATTATAAGGCAATGTGGGGGACCGAAACGCAGACTTCAGCCACGAGTCCTAGCAGAAATTCAAAAACTATGCGAAATTCAAAAACCAACGAAAATGGAAAAAATATTAGATCATTCACATTTTTATGTTTGCAATAGTATGTAATTTATCGTTGATCCATAAAATGAAATCAATCTAACACGATTTTTTTTATATAGAACCCAAAATATTCAAGATATGCAATTAGAAATAAATGATGGCGGATATAGTGTTTGACTAATGTTTACATCTTGTATACTTAAAATCAAATTGGACGAACAATCATTCTTTTAGCTTAACAGGCTGAAAGATAAAGTTTCACATCATTCCAACCATATCCGATATCTATGATTTTATTCCGAGCTTCAATGATGTATTTAGCAGTAGGGTGGCGGTGTGGGGATCCTGCCCAAATGATTTTTTCTTCTCCATCACAAATCAATAAGATTAGGTAAGTTTCATAATCTGTGAATGGAAAGCGACTTTGTAGTTCACGAATTTTTGATGCTGAATCTTCGATGACTTTAACAGTTTCTTTACTCCTGGCAGCAACTTCGCTTGAGTATTGAATATACTCGTTAACATTCAAGGGGACGAATCCACCGTCTCCAGCGCGCTGCCAGTGAACCATTGGAGCGCGAGAAGAGTCTAATGTATTGTCTATCCTCATATCAAATCCGTTTGTCGTCTTCTTAAAATCGCTGAGAAAAAGGCAGGGTGTTGAAATATCTGCAGCTATTTTTGCGTTCAAAGTTTCATACCAAACACTGCTATTCAACTTTGCCCAGTTAATTTCTTGGAGTTGCGCAGGAGCTGAGCAGTGTGTACAAAAACCATAACCTAAAAATGTAGCCATTAGAACTACCGCAGTGCAATTCATTGCGTACATCGCTTTCAACCGTTTCTATGAAACATATGAGGAGAGGTTTTCGAAGCTTGCATGCTGTTCGTTGTATATATTGATCATGAGGAAAGACGTGAGGTTTACGGATGCATTCGTCAGACGATAAACAACAGCTTAGAGTCTTACAGTCATGCACCTATACAACGACGCTGTATGAAATCTGTCACTCAGCACAGTTAAACCTTAGCCGATATGTTATATAGATAAATATATGAATGAAGTTTTATAAACATCATCCATGAAATATATATATATATGCTGTCCGCGCGCCATTTCTTTTGTTGGAAATTTATCACATCATCAAAATTACGATGATGAAGTCGGCTTCTAATCAGGTGTACATTTTTTAGTGATGAACTTACACGTCCAAACTGCATGTTTCGAATTCAGTTGTGCTGGATCTATAAGATAAGCAGCTGAAATTATTGTAAAAATATACCCTAAAGCTCTATGTTAGACTATATTTGAGATCACGAATAGTTGTGTATGTACAGAAGAAGTTATTGAAATGACTAAATTGAGAAAGTTACAAAATTAGTTTTCATTCAACATTTTTGTCACATACTCTGAAAATATAAAATATTAGGAAGGTGTTTTCATCACTTCTATAATTTATTGAAATTAGAACAAATTACTGATTGAACTCAATATTAACTAGATCATTATGGATAGCGTTTATAATAAACTATATAAATAGAAATAGTTCTGAAATGGTATTATAGTACACCCTCGACTCCATCAAAGCGTCAATCAAGTTGGTGCAAATTGATCTTCATTTTACGACAAGGCACATCCGTTCCATATTGCAGGTCTTCGCTTTATGTAAACCAAATAAAAAACATTCTACCTATACATGATCTAATGATCCAGTGATATTCCACATCATCCTTATTGGTTGTACGGGGCTGCTAGGAACAACTGATCCTGTCATAATATTGTTACAAACCACGCTGGGATTCCCAGCAAAAGTAAGGGATATGTTGGCACAATGAACAGATATCGGTCAATGAGAGATGAACATGAGCATGAAAATTATATTAAACACGAAAGTAATCTAGACTCAGAAGTTATTTTTGAGCAGCAGTAGCAGCTGAAATACCCATCAGACAGTATATAGTAATGATAAAAAACGTAATTATTTAAAAATTTCTGCCTATTTCGATTCTTTATTAGCATGTGGTAGAGTAGACTCTGCTACAGCCCATATTCGACCTCCGGTACATTTATTGGATAATTCACATCACAATGGAAAGTTGTTGGAAGGTAAAAAGGGTTTTATAAACAAGAGTTCAGTTTACTTTAAGCCATATTCATCTTACCATAAAATTAATTTGTTATTGGTATATATGTCTTAAAAAGACGACTGTTTGATGTAACGGGATACTGTATGTTATACAATATATATAAAGGAAACATTAAAAATTCCAAAGTAAGTGTTCTGATTTTTTCATAACAACATCAGGAAAAAATACGAATAAGATGATGAACAAAAACAACATACTAATATTAACAATAGAGCTATGCTCAAATATTTGGACACGGAGGGCAAAACTGAATGTTTATAAATAATTTCCGAAAATCAGATGCGGTAACTTGCCAGCAGCTGTATCTGGAGGCGGACAACTCGACTAACTGAGTTACCGGTAACGATGCGAGGACTGTCATAACTTTTCCAGATCCTGTGACGATGATCCATTCTTCAGGATTCAGTTTCAACGTAAATTGAATACCAACTTCCGTATTACTATATCAGGAACCGCAGTATACCGTTTGTCATAAAAAAATTCCCACTTCCCAGAAGGAGATTTTCCGACGATTTGACGTCTACTGTATGGTACGGTCAAAACCTTCCGAATCTAACATTGGACAGCTAGCTGCTAGCTGTTTGGTTGGGCTTGGCCATGCGGGCTCCCTGACTCTCTTTTTTACTTCGCTGGATTTCAATTTTTTTTTCACTGCCTGCCACTTTGGTTGGCCTCTTCTCTTCTATTTTTCACTTCGATGATTTCTTTTTATATTTTCTCGACTGATGAGGTATGTATGTTCCTTGCTCCTCATCTGATCTTTTCTATCTCTTTTGCTAACTGACCGTCTTGTCTCTGGTTTACTGTCTCTAAGTTTATAAAACATCTCACGAAAAATGTTGAAATTGGCGGAACGTTATGCTCTTGTACAGATTGAAACAATATCATACACAGATTAAATAAAAGGAAAAGGGACGAATTTTTTATAATGATGCCCCTTATACATAAAAATATTATGGACGTTGCTATACATGAAAATTAACGCCTCTGCGCTACACCAACATCAAAAAAGAAGGAGGATTTCCTTACCGTGTACTAAAGTCTTCAAGATGAGCTAAAACGTGTTCAAAATTTCTTACGCTTGCACCGGGGTTTTGAATGACCATGCTTTCGTTTTGAATCTGCGGCAAAGGATCACAATTTTTTGTAATTCTTGACAATTTCTAATTTTCGACAATTTTGAGATATTTAATTCTGAATTGAAGTCATATTTTTGTGAAAAATGAAACATTTCTAATCTGGAATTAGCTATTGTTCAGAATATAATATTTTTACATCAAACCTATTTAGTCATAATATCACGGTTATAACAAATATATCCTGTACATTAAATCTTATATATATTTGGTTACTTAGATTCATTCAGGTTACAAAACTCAATCGAAGATACGGAACAAAGACGATCTGGCGGCTGAAAAGATTTTTTCCGACAGTGTCAAACTTTCTTTTGACTGACTTTCTGATACTCCTGGAACATCCATATAAATTCCCTGACTATCCCAAAAGTCACATACATCTTTATTGGAATCGCTAACGTGATATGTGCTATTTTCTTCCATCATCAAATGCAGCCAAGATCCTGCCTTATTTCTATCGTCTTGTGCATATGGTAACCATTCGATAAATTCGTTTTCAAAATCCTCAGAAGGTTCCCCAGTTGTGGCAAAATTTCCCCAATAATTGCTAAATTGATCCATTGCACGAATATCCTCGGTATCCGCAACCATTCTGAAGTGTAAAGTCCAATATTAATATTTTTTAAATTGAAGGTTATTTGAAAATATATTCTTTAAAAAGTCGCTAAAAACATGAATTTATATAAAAATTATCCTGACTTTGCCTTAAAAGTCCAAGACTATCTGCCAAGATCGAAATAGCCAGACCAGTATTACAACCTAAGTTATTAGGTGACGGGTATGAGGTTTACCCCAGATATTTTAATTCCAGATTCATATTAAAATCCAGATTTTCAATTCATTCAGTCATGCATGAGTCTGATTAGTGAGTAACCGGCACAGATGGGGTTGTTGATAGTCTTTTAGCTACAAGAAGTGGTACGGTAGCATTGTTGTTATGTGCCGTCTCAAAAATATATCTTGGGACTATGCGAATTATTAAAAAATTGTGAGTCTGCAGAATTTGCGGTTTCAGTCCGACTCCAGAAAGAATAGAAAATTATGGATGCGAGATCGGCTCTTCACGACCGCACTGGCAGGGCAGTATTGTTATTATTATATATATATTAGATTGTAGGAAACGAATTAATATGCAAAATATATATTAAATATGGAATGAATATTTGGATTGAGTTTGCTTGGTATTGGTCGAGGAAATAGCAATAAATTTTATTTATTATAAACTCATTCTATCCCTTTTTAAATTTATATTTATTGAAATCTTACCCGGAATGATTAATAGTCCTGTATACGAAATATAAATCAACTGCATGGTTTGAGAGACCACATAACGACCCAAAGTTGTTTTCACAATCTGGTCCGTCCAAAGAATGGTTAAACATATAGAAATATACAACCGATTCGCTAGTGGAAGAAGCATATCTGAAGACAAAAACTTGAGTACTTCATAATATATACTTATATATATATATACAAATACATAGTTCTGGGAATAACTCACCTTGCTAGTGCTCTCTGAGGGCACCCAAAAACCAAGTCAGTCATTTCGATTCCTAGTACTTCAAGAAGATTGGTTGGTCCATATGTTTCAATATATTTATTTGAAACAAGTTCACCTGTATTTTCATGTATACCATATCCTTCAAATACTGCGTCATTGAATCCCTAGAAATAAATTTCAATAATATACAATGGTGGGCGCTCCAGAAGTGCGTGTACCAATATGAAGGTAACTAATTTTGTTCGCTCACTTTACATTAAGTTGTGTAAATGGACTTAAACCTATGGGCAGGGGGTATATTCACTTGGCTAACACGAACAGTCCTCGAACTCGTAATATAACTAAAATAAGAAAAAATAAAATTATGGCCTAACCCTAACCTGGTACACATACTACGGGAGTGCCCAATGCTGTGATGCTTCAAAACTTTGATTATTGAAATATAAAATCTGTAGCGCTCAAATATTTTCTTTTCTTAGTATATATTGTAAGCTTTTACATGCTTCTTTAACATATTCAGAGGTTATAGCAAATTTTTTTTTTCCAACTTTTTTTATATGTCGATTTTTACTATACCAAATTAAAAAAAAAAAATTGAAACTGAGGGATCCACATCACGCTCATCGTATTTACTTTACCACTAAAAAAATCAAGGGATAAACCAACCTGAATTATTAGTTTTGAACCTGACACATTATAAGACTGACTAAGTTACTTGGATGAAATAGATTGATTGAGGGATAGGTGGAATAGAGATAGAAAATTACCTTATAGATATTTTCAGTCATAAAAGGCCATAAAAATTGCAGCAGAGCTAGTTCTTGACTGTTCGTTCCTATAATTATAGGTTTGTGTTTCTGCCATCTCCCTTCTTTGAATAATTGAATCGGTTGCTTTGTGAATTCAACACCATCAATGACAGGACGAAAAGGTTCTATAAACTTAGAGGTAATTTAAATTTATAGGACCTGATAAATTATTTTACAGACACATAAAATTTGATGCATATACTTGGGTCAAGCTGGGTTTTTGTTTGAATCTCTGATAATTTCATCCGTTGCTTTAGCAACGACTAGCACATAGTAATAAACTCTGATATAAACTCTAGCTCCAGATCATCAAGTTTTAAGGAGACTGACTCATTATCTCACCAATCATGAAATTTCTAGAAAACTTCTTGTATCTATAGCGCGAATTCCAATTAATTTTCAGTAAATCACACATCACAACTCCCCAATTTAAACAAAAACAAATCACCGAGATATGAATTAAATAATTTCCGATAAATGCAAACATACGCTAACAAATTATTTGAGAGAAATACAATAACTCACATTGCTGGAAAACAGTTAATCCCCTGCTAAAACATCTAGCAATTTTTTTCAGTTAATATTTATTTTGATTTTATTTAATTGATTCTACAATATCTTATCGGGTCTCTACCCCGCTATAACATCCGCTTTAATTTACGGTAATAGTTGAAAATGCAATATAAACAAAGAAAATGTATTTTCAACAAGATTAATAATTATTCCATACATATCATACTAACCAAACGTTTGACTGTAGTAAAAAAATGCAAGTTCTTACTTGAAAGAAGTTGAGTGATGAAAATTCTTCCGCCATAACCTTCATCATCGCGTTCACCAATTTCTGAGACGATGCTTCCCTGAATGTTTGTCCATAATAGATTACAAGCTCTAATATATATTTTCGCATTTGTTTGAACGTTATGACCTACAGCCACAAGCTACGAAATAGTTAAACGGGACTCGTTTAAGAGTAGATGCAAATTATGAATGTACTCTTTAAATATTGTGGATCATTAAAGTTTGGTTTAATCCAAAAACCTTTAAGCATATTGTTGATTAACATTCCGAACGTAGTCTGAGAAATGTACTTACTTCAAACAGTGTAACCCATCTTTTGAGGATAAACAGCAATCGGTGCTGAAAAAATCAAATATTCCACATCGAAGATATTCAATAACTTGTTTTGTGATTGCATGAGCTTCTGGGTAGGTTGGATAAAAACATGGGAACGGATTACTTTGAATTATTGCTTGATGAAATAGAGAATCGCTGACGTCGGATAGTAAATGAAGCATGACTGATTGTCCACCAGCGCTTTCTCCGAATATGGTTATCTAATTGGAAGTTAAAAAGAGAATCCAATTATTATTAAAAATACTAGTTGATGGCAATATAAAACAGAATATATATTCCAATAACGAAATTATTTTAGAGTGTGCAGTTTATCAGAAAACTTCAGTTATGACATGTAAAACAAAAATTTGCTGTTTTGGTCACAGATTTTTTGATCTTTTCAAGAATCCATGTAATTACCAAGGATACGTAGGTATACGAAAAAATAAAACAACACAAGCAGCCCATCTCTTTACAAACATGCACAAATAAATATAAATAAGTATCCTCATTCCAATACCTTATTCTTATCTCCGCCAAATTGCTCGATATTGTCCTGAACCCATTGCAAAGCAAGTTGTTGATCTTTAAATCCTTGATTTCCATCCAAAACTTGTTTGCCGTTATTGTATGCCAGAAATCCAAATGGCCCTAAATATCATTGCTTAAATTTAAAGGTCGCGGAAGTAAAAGATATCAACGTTTTGAAGCCTGCAATTTACACTAACACCTTCTGAATTTGTTAGAAGTGAAGAAGAGTTATGAGATGAGATCGATTCACTTATTCAATGCTACTTCCAGGAAGACATGATCAAAAATTGCCTAGCTAGATATTATTGAAATGGCTCGGACTATTTGGAATTCCAAGAATGATGATTTTCGATATATATGATTAACTGATGGCAAAGCAAAAATCAGTAAAATTTCAGACTGTTTTGGCACGTTTACAACAAGAATTTTGACAACATCCCAATTTACATGTATGTTGAAATTCTATTGATTAAATTCTTATTTTAGACTTAAATTAGGTGAATCTCATCTAACTTATGATTCTATGCCTCACCCAATCTGTAATTTATTTCTACAACAATCGTGTTTGTCGCTTCACTTAGATATCTTCCTTCGTATACCGGCCATGTTCCCGAACCAAGAATAAATCCTCCTCCATGAATAGAAAACATCACAGGTAGTTTTCTATTAGGTAACCTGTTTTGATCTGACAAATCAACGTGGGACGGAACATGTATGTCCAAGATGAGGCAGTCTTCATCTCGCTAAGTGTAGAAACTTTAGTTTATTTACTCACAAACAGAGATAGACTAGGCCACTGAAAAACCTCAAAAATTAGTTTCATTCCAATCGGTAGTAGCTACCTACCGATTAGTAGTAATTCTTAGTTCAGAACGATATGAGGTTTCGAATATTAATGGTATGAACAAAACTTCATGGAAAAATCTAAATATCTCAAACTAAAAAAACACTATCCTCAAAAGGGCATGTCTCAGAAATGTCGTGTCCCACTTGTATCACGTGTAACAAGTCGAACACGCGGGACAAGCGGGGCGAGTGAGGCACGTCATTTTCGAGACACTGCTCAAAAGGCGTAAATATTCAATTTTTTTATCGAAATCCTATCGAAAAGTTTAGCTTGTTATGATAAATTACAAACATTTCAACTTACCAATTTGGGAAGAATGTCAACTATCTGTATAGTTAAAACTAACCATGGGAATATAAAATGCATTTTAGACGTCCACCTATACACTCTCTAAGTAGCATTGGTAAAGTATGTGCCGTTGCCGTATAGTATACGCATAATTGAAAAACAAAATCTTACATTTAAGAAAAATCCGATCTGATAACACATCAAAATATCTTGGTGCGTTTTATTACGAATAGCGCTTGGTGTTACAAGCGGTTGAGGCGGTTGAAATCTGAATCAATATACATTTATATGTAAAATAAGTTTGCATGAGTATTATAATTTCGACAATTCAATTCAATAAAACTACATTATAAAATTATTATAATTACACGATTGTCCTAATTAAGGAAATCATTCTTGAATACACTTCAAAATTTTTTAAAGCATAGATAACTGCGATTTTAAAATCAAACATTATCTGCCTGAAAAGCACATATATATTTAACTTTGGTAAAGTTAAAAATAACTTGTTAATTAGTTCAATGAGATCATAATTTTTTAGAGATTATGTAATTGTTACCATGGCTATTACCTATAACTATTGGTGCCAGTCATAATACTGCAAAACCTCAGAATTTAACATTAAATATTGGAATAGAATTATATCATTTGTACCTTAATTCTCCGACAGGTGGTTTAGCATATGGGATTCCATAGAATGAGTGGTCATGCTTTGTTGTTATTCCGTGAATTAAACCAGATGTTGTTTGAACGCGAGGTTGAATATCTGAACGTAAACAATAACTACAGAATAAGTAAATACAGAATGGGAAAAACTAAATATTCGATTTCATATATTCAAAGCCGAATTTCGAATCAAGTAGAAGTATTGATTTGTTTGATAAAATAATTTAATCAAGATCAATCATTCTCAAACTCAAGATACTGATGTTATGATCCATGTTCAAATCTATATGCCTTGGACACATTTTCTGCGCTCAATATGATGCATTATTTATAGAACATTCATGTATTTACCTGATTCACCAAATACGTTCTCTATTTTTGGTTCTACATCCAAAGGAGCTACCATAAATAATTTCCTCAAAGAATCAAAAATGAAATCTTCCGAAGGTTTCTGACCAAGTTGACAGAATCCATTTCTCATCGTAAATGCGAGAACAGTGAATATTGGGAGATATTGGGAGTGCATTATTCAGCTCAATGCTCCACAAGTCGGCAAATGAACAGCAGTAATCTTAGTTTATTTCTCAGACCTTTTGGTGTCAACCTGATTTAAATATAGTGACATAATTATTATTGCAATACTAGACATCCCATTGCTTATCACTAAACTATATTTTCTAAGGTTTACCGGAAACATTCAGAACGGCATATTGTTAAGAATAGTTTAATAAATGAATGATCATGTTCACTTTCAAATGGTCATTTCAGTTATCATTTTTTATATAAATTGGTAACTTTACTAGACATATCAGGCCTTTCTCCACCTAATTCGGCCCTGAAATTATATACTTGAACGGATAGACGTCTGATTTCTAACTTTCCAAATTAGGCTGGCTTTAGTAGTGGTATGGATGAAATGACTTAACTTGAAACATTAAATAAAACTGGTTATAACTTTTAATTTTCTTATTCCTTGCAAACTTCTACGGTCGTACATGCGAATAAACACAGTTGAAACACTATTGCTTGACCAACAGCCTCTATTTCACAAAATTGTGAAATAAATCCTGTTAATTGGACATTGCCCCTGCAATGATCATCAAATATTCCAATGAAAATGTTTACTATGACAACTATGGGTCGCAGATGCGAACCTAAACAGAACAAATATTTTTTTTATACAGATAGTCAATACAATTGAGTCAACAAAAATACTTTGCAAATCCATGACGACACATTTTTGTGCAATTAGTTGCACCTGATTTGCTGCTCGTAATATTGGTAAACGATCCCTTGAATTTTCTAAATGTTATGGAATTTTACAATGTCGTTGATTGTTTCTTTCAAAGTAACTATTTCGCATGCTAGGAAAAGATCACGTATATAAGTTAAACTAAATGTGGTGATAAGCACTTCAACCAAAAATTGTGTCTTAGTAATAGTAAAATTACATTAAAGTGTTTTATACTTGTTTTGTTTAAAATGACTGTTTTATTTGTTATTTTTTGTATTAAATATGTTAAAACAAGAAAAGTGGATATTAAAACCTCGTGGTCTATTTTTATCGTCAATATAATCGTGCCCAAATCCAGTTGTATGAGAAAGGCGTAAGCGACAAGGCGTTACGTGAACCACCCAGCAAAGGCGAATAGTAGCCTACTGCTCTCCCACATTGTCACATCCGTCATGGAATTCGAATCTACACAGGTACCTAGCGTAGATTGCCGTCAGGCCTGGTACATTGTTGGGTATTGTGCCAACACACTGTTTTTTCAGTAAATACGAGGGGTGATAGATTGTATTTAGCAGGCCTTTGAGCTATGTTTTTTTTGGCCTGTTTGCTCAAAGCGTATCTCTGATATCTCGAATAAGCATGGCTATTGAAAACTTATGACTTGGTGTAGGTACTAAACTGGCGATAAAGCAATGTGATGAGAGTGGAGTCAAAACAATTTTTTTTTACGTTCTTGAAATTATTATTCACAGTGTGCAGTTGCCAAAATTCGCTACTTTGTAATAGTTTTACATTGATGCAAAGAGTATTTTCAATAAAAAATACAGAAGATTTTTGATTTATAATAATTTCTTGTTTTAAATAGACAGTTTTATTAACAACTTATGCTAGATCAAGTTAGCATAATAGTATTTTTTTAGGCCCTTATTGCTAAAGTATTGCAAATGTACTTTTGTTCCCGGCAAGGTAAGGATTACTAGCTTTGCATCTGTCTCGTCACAAAAGTTACGACACATAAAATATTACTTTTCTATAGAGATTACAATTCGAATTTCACTTCAAGTTATCATCACTTGCGTCATATTTTGTTTAATTTGTGAAACATCGCGAAATTATTTTTGTAGGGTGTAGCTATACTCGCAGACGATATGATGTGGTCGCGTTCTTCGCTTATTATCTAAGACGGTTATTGATTGCAATATGTGGAGCAGGGGTGGCCAACCTTTCACATACCATGCGCCACGTTTTAAACATAATGTTTCAGATGCGCCGTAAATCTCTTGTATTCCCACGCCTAATGTCCGCTTCTTGTTGAAATTATATAAATCTATGATACACACGTATATGTAGTTTTTACAATTTACAACTTCACATGAATAGAAATTAAGCAAGGAAGTATAATGAATAAAACTGATCAATTTTAAGTACCGCCTTTATGAGACTTTTGCTGCTGTTTTACTTTCGCCAGTTTTTTTATTCTTGGAGTTAAGTTTGTTACTGAGAGGAGCAGTGCATTCTTCAAATTTAAATCTGTAAGTCTTGACCTCGCTTTGCTTTTAATCAGTTTCATGGCAGAAAATGTTTGTTCACATCTATATGTCGTTCCGAAACGACATATAAAACCCTGGGCAAATTTTCTCAGTTCCGGAAAATTTTCACGGGGTAACGATTGCCAGAACTTGATCATGTCAGATGCACTTGGGACTGAAGAAAGCTCATCAAATTGAATTTTCAATGATGGATGAGTTTTCAAGTCAATTAGTTCCAATTGTATATTGCTTGGCATCTTCATTATGGTTAGTTCACTAAGTGAAAATGGGTTTATAAAAGCAAGTATAGAGTCTTCTTCTTTTCAGCATTTTGTGGGTTGATTTATAAGAAATTTTTTAGGCTTGGGCAATTCAACTGGTTGTTCAATGGTTATTGGGAGATATTTGGGAAGTTTGGGCAATGGAAAATCCATGTTTCAAGCTGATAAATGACGATTTTCTATTTTTCCAGAAGTTCTGAACTTTTTACTTCAGTAGGGAAAAAATAGTAAATTTTACTAATTATTGCTAAAAGTCTAGAATGAATGTCATGAAGTCCATCCAAAAGCTAACGTCGATAATCGCCTGTTGTTTCTAATTCCAACAAGCCGTAAGTGGGCGACGTGGAGTAAGAAGAATAGGTTTTAGGTACAATCAAAAGTCACCATGTAAATCGCAAAAAAAACGGCTTGGCGTGGAGAAGCCAAGTGCAATTAACAATTTTGGCATGAAAAGGGTTAAAGATGCAATGCGCCACCTCTAATCATGCAATGCGCCACGTTTGGCGCATGCGCCATAGGTTGGCCACCCCTGATGTAGAGTGACTTCATCACAGTATGGACTAGATTTAATAAAATGATATCATCCAAGCATCATCCGCATGCACATAAATATACATACAAATAGGGCTAGGGTGGTTCACGAATAGGTACAGCAATTGCTAATTTACGAAGTCATAATGTCCCGCAGCAATTGTTTGCTCAGAACATTGTTTGCCACGTCAGTGAGGTGAATTTGACATAACACGAGTTGCAAGGATTAGTGTTCTCATGAATTTAATCGACCTTGTCATGAGTATGGTCACTGTGTAGACTTTGTTGATCAGACAATATTTTTAATGGCTTAATTCACAACCGTGAACACGTACCTTTGCTAAGTTATTACAAAGAATTCAGTACAGATTCGATTGTTTCGCTATAGTTTGGAATAAGCTTGGAATGGGTCCAGATAGCTGTCAGACACTCTTCTGAAGGTTGGTGTTATAAGGAATTTCATAGGCCATGGATCTGAGGTCATAAAGGTTTGCCTAATTGTGTGAGTTTTTGCATGAGCGTTTGTTGCATTGATATTTTCGCGTATTCTTTTTTAGGCGTGTTTCCTTTATATATAAGACAGAATATATATTTGTAGTATTAAAATACTTATGTCGGTTATCATACTTTGATTTTTACTTGTAGTATGTTGTCTTTCTTCAAATATTCCACCAGTATCGCAGATACTCATTTTTGTACGTTCCTGGCTGACGTAGTAAACAATTTTAGAGTTATCATCTTAGCTTATGGGGCAATTGCTCACATTGCGCTCTCTATATACATGGTTTGCTTCTTCGTTTCAAAATGTGCGTATAATTGAACAAAAAAGAATAATAAACGGTAAATGGGGCCAATATAGAACATACTGCTTGTTTGTTCAAGATAACTTTCTGTACACTTCAGTGAGAAGCAAACATAGATATCATAAACCTGATGATTCCATTTCGCTTGCTGGATTCGGAAAAACTTGCACCATATCGGCCGTTTTTTTTTAATTTTATTCAAAGGGCATGATAATATAAGGTGTAATTTCGAGAAAAAAACGTATTTAACTCCGTAACACTTCTGAATAGAACCAGCATAAAGTTAAAAGTGAGTTTGCTTATCGTATTTGCCATAAAGGTGGTATGTACTTTTTGGGTTGGGACTATATCGTAAATATCTTCTGCTGTATTTTTGTCTGATCCTTGCCCTATACTTCTTGCAGGCACTTCCTCGCCGCTTAAGCAAACATTCTTCGTTTCTTTTGCCCGTCAAAGCTTTTATTTATGCATTGCATTTTAACAGTAGGATTCCAATTATAACACGTTCTTTTCAAAGTATACAGTAATTAGTTACCCATGTAATGTCAATATTATTGTGTTGTTTCATGAATAATTTTACCGAATACGCAATCTGAAAAGGAAGCAGATGGTGCTATATGCTATTTGCCATGTTTCAATCAGGAAGATCTCTTTGGCCCTAAAAGTCCGAAAATTTGAATGTATGGCAAGATTATTTTGAAGATAAATACATTATTAAAAATTAACCTGGCCAATGAACACTACTTATTCAATAATAGTCCGTCCGAAATATAACTTAGTACCAGTAAACTTGTCAAGTAAATTTCCGTATCGTTCTGAATAGCATATAAAGCATCTTGCATATAGGCTATGTCTTGTGCATTCGATGAAGATTAACGTTGGTATAATATAATAATATGTATTAATCGACCATCGTATTAGACATGATATGTGTTTCACAAAAAAAAAAAAATTGTACCCTACGAAACACAATACATGATCGTATAAAATATTTTTTTCAGAAAGATATAACTAATTATGAATGAGGCAGATAACAAATACCAGGCGTTGTTCAAGTGGAAACGTCTACAATACAATTCTCCAACCACCGATTCAGCATTCTCTATGATCGAAGAATATGACAAATGGGCAGAAGATTACGACAAAGATTATGGCGCGATGGGTTACGCTATACCGGCGCAATCCGCTGAGATGCTAATGCGTCATTTGGGAGAAAATTGCAAATCCAGCAAGATAAGAATAATGGACATCGCTTGTGGAACAGGGCAGATCGGAATTGCTCTCCGCAGTAATGGTTTTGTCGGTACTCTTCAAGGAATAGATGGAAGTGATAAGATGATCTCGGTTGCGAAGAAAACGAAATGTTACGACGATCTCAACGTTCAATTCATATATCCTGATAAAGAAATCACTCCAATCGGAGAAGGGAAATATGACGCTGTTTCTTGTTTGGGAGCGTTCAGTTTGTATCACATGGAACCTAAAACCATACGGGTAATGCTGAATTTACTGAAACCAGGAGGTATTTTTATCTGTTCTGTGCGTGACAGCCCGAACAACCAAACCGTATTTGATATGCTAACCACCGAAATGAAAACCCTAGATAATTCAGGCTTAGTAAAAGAAATCGAACGAAAGATGACGAGGCACGGTGTCAATTGGGAAATTGATGAAAACTACTACACCGATGTTTGCGATGAGATGCCAGAGCCATCTATTATGATGATATATTGTTTACAAAAATTGTGAAGCTAATTTCCAATAAATACCGAAAATTTAAAAATCAAATATTAGTAATTAAAAATTCCTGACTTTGTTGTACTTTATAAATATTATTGTATTGGAGTTGAACGTCACAATATGAATAAAGACAAGAGAGCAAGGTTCGAGTATATGGGCACGAAAGGCAAAACGAAGAAGTATCAAATCTTTCACAGTATCGGTAGTCTGACCACGAGAGTACTGAGATGTTATCACGAAACCACGGCACGGTAAGCAATTTTAAATTTTGATAACGTCATCACACAAAACTTCGAAGTGAAATACGCATCCTCTACAGCCCATATCGATATTTTTGAAATAAACTGAAGGTAATAGCCTACTATCGACAATAACAAGCTTTAACTAATTTTGAAGCAATTGGTCCAGTAGTTGAAGACAAAGGCGATTTTTTCACAACAACAATATAATAACAAAACAATCCAAAGGTCCACTTAGTGTCAAATAATGGGACAATGCTCAAATTTATGAGGTTCAAACTCAAAAAACTGGTAACGCTAGCCTAAGCGGCCGACTGTATTGAAAATATGTCGGTATCGTCCGTCATAATACCACGTGTTGATGCTATACTTGTAAAAATAGAATAAGTTTGGGTGAAATAAACCACAGAACTAGAAAAACCCCTATTCCAACAATGATGATTCAGGAAATGTATAGAGTGCACTAAAGCGTATGATGGGAAAAAACAGCTCCTAAACGTTCAGTTTGGAAATAAAACAATTCAATCTATTTCCAGCCAATTGCTTAGGGCTGTGTAATTGGATTAAGAGTTTGACATAGTTTTGTTGATATTGTATTTAGAGACGGAGATTTATTCGAAACCTCCACGTAGTCAGAGTCGAAGCCAAATTGAAATTTCAATTTTTTGGAGTACGAGTTTTATACTTTTGATGCTATACTATGAAAATTTACAGTTAATTTAGCATTATAAACAGACAAAGAAGGGCATACGCAAAATTAAATAATTTGGTTTTCATGGAGACTTGAATATGAGTCCAAATTTCTTTCTACTTCAAGTCAAGAGCCGAAATAGGTATTGTTTCAAATGACCGGAAGGTTGGATTCGGCTGTGAATTTTCCTCTGCACATCAGCGCTGGTTGCCTATTAGCAGTTTGAACTTGGTATGCTACTCTCTAAAAATATGGAATAATATCACGAATTATAATCCATAATATAAAGTAAGAGTCCTAGGATATTGGTCACCAAGGAATAAAAAATTAAATCGGGGTTTGATTTCTGTTGATTAGGACCTAGTTATAATAATACGAGTGAAGAAGATTCAAGCATTGGATAGAATCCCCATGTTGAATCACCGATGAATATAAGGTTATTGGTAACAAGTCTTCGGTATCGTGTTTATCTACATGTTTTTTTTTATCGATGGATGATGTTGTGGTACCAATATAATAATTATACGACAGACTGCATTCGTTTGGAATAACAGAGGAAAGAGAAGAAAAGCTGGACTACGTCACTTTGTAGATTTTCAGTCTACATTAAATTCTCAGCATTCAATTCCATAGCAATCTGGCTGTATCATGAATACACTACCACGTCAAGTATTAGCAGAGTTTGAGCATTTTGCAGATTGGCATGACTCATGAATTGGCATTGTTTTGAAGGTTCAATAAAATTAAACACGTGTGCGTATTTACGCGTTGATTGCATTGGCTACTGATGTACTGCGGTTAGTTTGCGGTTAACTCAATATTAATTAATTGAGCTATTATCGTGGCGAATTAATTCTGTATTTTTTGTCCACAACTTTCCAGGCGTGTCGGATTTCAATCGTGAAGGTACAACTGGCAATGGTAAAACTCGTCTTAAATCTACCCGGAAGATGTCACTAATCAGGCAATTTTATAAACTTCTTTACAATAAATAATACAGGTTGCAAATACAATTTGGGACCTTTATATCGAAATGGTCAATTCTTGGCTATATATGTAAGCAAGATATAGCTTTTCTATAAATTTGTTGAAACTGTCACTAGAAATAATCCAATAAAATATAAATCAAACAACATATATTCATTGTTTGATCCTGCGAAGTCTAATTCAGCTGATACCATTCACTCTTCTAATCACGGAGAATACGATATTCAACATTGTAATCAGACAACAGTGTGTCATCTTCCATGTCTCATTTATTTTCCGTGAAAATAAATGGAAGATTACACTTGAAAAATTCTCCACCTCAACATTGGGCACGAAGCACCATTTACCGTGATATACATATTTTCTCTATATATTTAATTTCTTAAGTTATAATTATTCTTTAAGCCTCGCAAATGTCGTGACGGTTTTGGCAAATTCAACACCCTTCCTAGAAAGCATTATGACATAACAATCGTGTCGAACTGTAAATTTCAAGGTCGAGGTCTTTGATACTTATGTAACAACATTTTGTTTGATTGCTATCTTATATAATTTTCATTCAATTTATCACCTTCACACAAGACCAGATTTTTTTGTCATGTTCAAAGTGCTTCATATAGATCTACATTGCAAGCATTGTTTGAGCACTGTGCTGGTACAGGAAATTCTATTTCATTCTTATTGTCTTCTAAAACTTGAATTTTTGAGCTTTCAAAATAAGACGGTCAGAGAATTATTTATTATCGAAGTCGGTACGCACTGTGCCGGTACAGGAAATTTTTTTCGTTGTTATATATCTTCTAAAACTTGGATTTTGGAGCTTTCAAAATGAGACGGGCAAAGAATTCTTTATTATCGAAGTCGGTACAGCACATTTCGCAGACTGAAAAAGTTACTATAATTAAATTAGCATAGAATGTATTGTAACCTAGTATAAACATAGAAAATTCAAATTTTTCTATATAGCAAATTGAAAAAAAAAATATTCATCGATCTGTTAGGACACGGCATAATCATTTGGAAGAATTATATTTGTTATAGCTGATTTATCCGTTTTTACGCGTTTCCTTTGTTTCTCCCATAAGTCTATTTTTATTCTCTATTTCCTATTATGTAAGAATTTTGACTCTTTGCCATACTTGCGACATCACTGTCTATATTTTTCAGTCTGGGTGTCAAACTAGACAGTAACTGATGAAACGCTAATCGACTAATTTGGTAAAGTTTAGAAACCTAAACGCACTATTGCTAATTTGCTAGTCTACTGGGACGAATTTTGTAGTAAAGTACAATTCATTTTGTTAGGATATTTAGCATCATTTAGTTGATTCTCTATTTGCAGATCAAGATAATATCAAAATTTCAGGTGATTAAATTAGTCCTTACAAGTAGTAGTCCTTACAATAAACAGCAAAGTGTGAGAAAAATTAAGTAATGTTTGAATAAAAAGTTCAACACAACGTTTGAAAATTACCAGATGTCATATACCGCGATAATACAACGTACGTTGGGCTAGTTTGATGTATTTTTCCTTTTATTATTTTTAGTAATGGTGTTCTAACTATGTGTTGATAAGATTATATTGAATAGTTTTATACGCATGACACCTGTTTCCAACCTTTCCTTCCATCTTGTAATTTCTATTAATACTAAATAAAAGTGCAGTGGTAAATTTCATTTCGTATATAACCTGTATTGTAGGCTGCAGAGAAGATAAATAATTTTTTTTGTCAAAAATGATACTACATTTCGGCATTTATATAAGGCATTTAAAATGCAATTCAATTATAAAAAAAAATCAACACCATGAGTATAGCATTTTGGGAAGATTTCACTGTTATAGATATTCGTTAATTGTACTCACCCATAGATTATTATTAAGTTGTTTATTTCCACTGTTTTTGTGTGTTCCATATATTTTATTCTAGATAACATTAGTACAATATCTGATTTCAGTACAATAAGTATATTGTAATATTCTAGTACAACTTACTTGATTCTATTAAATTTCCGTGTAGTATGGCTGCCAGCCAATACTTTTCAAAAGAAATTGAAAACTTCGGTGCACAGTCTATGGCAAGGCTATGTTAATTTATCATGCATACGTCATATTTATCGATATCTTATTGGTTTGTCAAAAAGGTTGCATAATCAAGAAAATAACAATTGATTATTTTTAGGTTTTGTCAGCTTGTAATAATTTGTAATGAAGTCTATTCCGACGTTGCTAAAAACAATCATACAAAGACAAACAAAAAAATCGCAGATCTTAAATTACAATTATTTTGAAAGGGATTTGATATAAATTTCACAGTTAGCTTAAAGAGTATTGAGTCAGAGTTTATAGTAGGGTCTGGAAATACAGATTTTCAATGATAATAATCGAAGTTAAATTTTCCGACCAAAATTCATGGAACATTAGGTTGATTAAACAGTCTTGCCAGACTATAAATGAAGGCTTCTATATGTCGAATTTGATTGCCTCAAAATTCGGAGCTGGAGTCAAAACTTTGTTTACCCGATAATGTGAGTCAGAGCCAAAAGTTTAGTCTTTTCAGTTCGCGCTAATAGTAGTTTTGGAGCTGTGTGTGTTCGCCCTAAAGGAATGAACTTTAACCTGATTGTTATAGATTAAATTGTTCTACCTATGATTTAAGCATTTTAAATTCATCGTTTTATAATGGCCTACATTTGTAATTTAGATCGGATTCCAATCCCCATTTGAACCCGACTCGGCCTGAATATTAGTCGATCAAAAGTCAGTTGAGTTCAAGATGGTTCGAAGATTCGAGAATAAGATAAACCGCTTGGTGGTGGGAGAGATTATGAACCGAATTAATGAGGTCGTTTAAAGGTCTTCTTCTCGAAATTGGTGAAATGTGATCGATTGACGTGCATTTTGTCTTCACAGAAATACCGTCACTGAATTCAAATTTTATATTACTCTTTGGACGGATTTCCGGCAACGATAATTTATTAGATCACGTCAGTGCTATTCGAAACCAAATCGTTGTTGTTACATAAGTGTTAAATTTCACGAACTATCTATTTCTGTGCTCAATTCTTCATCTCTATCTACTGTTGTCTTAGTTAAACTTGAAGTTACACAACACTTTGCACACAAAAAGAACGTTTTGGGGAAAAGACGTGATTTTGTTGCGACTTTTGTTTACATTGTATTATTACATTCTGTATAGTGTAGACCACACCGTAATCTTCAACAAAATTTTACATGACCTGGCATTAGATTTCACAAAAAATGGAAATATACACAAATAGCCATAGACGTGGTATAACAGAATTTTTTTTAAAATTTTTTTAAAATTTAGTAAAAGACGTTTAAACGAAATATATGTTTGGTTTTATCATTTTAACGAAAATTATAACTCATCTACCATTTTCATTCATATGACTTTGCGCGGTCTCAAAAATGAAAATATCGTGTACCACTTGTTCCTCTTGTACCACGAATCAATGGATAAAACTTTGCGTG